GGGGGGCCCTGCCAGTGGCAGCAGCCCCTTCCTTCCTATATATACACACACACTATAAAATCGCAAGTATAATGAGGGTGCACATTATATATGAGTTCACTTTTTTCCCCAGGATTGGGACATTGAAAAGGTAGGTGAGCATTATACATAAGTGCGCATTATATTCGCGATTTTACGGTACATTGTAACATCTGAATTAAATGTATGAGGCTCTAGTCTACGCATGCGTCATAGTGCAATTTATTCTCTAAGGCTCAAATACTGGTCCCTCTTGGCATAAAACCCTAATGAATGGCCTTACATCTAGGAACCTTACTAGCAATGCCAAGTCCAAAACCAATTTTCCTCCTCCAGTCTACCATGAAAATACATATATAGTTCAAAAAGCCAGAATTCCATGGAAGCACTAGATATGGACATAGCTTACACACACAGTCTTTAAGGCCTGTGGAGAAAAAGACAGGTTCACTGTTCATTGTCTTATACAGGTTGAAGCTCTCTAATTCAACAACATCCATGGTCTGGCATGATTTTAGTTAGCTGGATGTCCACTTATGGGTGTGACTGAGTTTTCTGAAGTTCCATATCGTTTGTTTACAGCCACCAGTCCTGGTTTTCAGTGGGCTGTACAGTTTTTTAAACTCACCTCTAAATGTCTTCTAAAAGCCCAATAAGCAGTGGAAGTGTTGGTAATGCTGCTAGACAATATTGACCTCCCATGGTTCAAAAAATTCTCTGGAACAGCACCAGTCAGGCCCTGAGGGTGCTGGACCAAAGTAGTTCAACCTATATACAGTAATTTCTCTCCATGGCACCCAAAACAGTGGAACTGTAAGTTTCATTACGTTTTGGACCTTGCTGGGGTAGAAATGTGGGGCAGCATTCAAACATAAAATGACTAGATTATATATTCCATACTTTGATATTTTAAGTCCAGGTGGAACATATATTTCTTTTAAAAATACAAACCCAAGAATGACAGATAATGTGTCTTACAAGAAGGAAGGTCTTCATTAAAATAATTTTGAAAAATAAAAATACTAGGTGGTGTGGAGTCAGTGCCTTGGAACTTCTAGAGATACTCCTGGTTGTAACTGAAAAATGACCCTTATAGACAAAAAATGCTAGATGCAACTTCAGACAGCTGGACAACATGAACATGAAGTCAACTCCTTCAGACCGACTGAATTAAGGACCCACGTAACAGAAATGCAGCTTTTGGAAATGGAGTTTCAAACTACCACTCAGTGTGGCATATTAATAATCTGACACCCAGTTGAAATATTTGTTAATTCATTATATTATGTCTGAAAGGTGAGCTGTGGACCAATGAAATGCCCTTACAACCCAACCAACTGTATGTGTGTACAACACATGTTCTATGCAAAGAGTTGATTTGATCCACAATCAAAGTAAATAGGACACTATTTCCATTCTATGTCATTTTAAAACAGTGAAAGTAAGCAGTCTGAACACAAGTAGTATATTGGAGAAGTGCCAAGTTTTTAATGGCTGATTCCACTTTCCTACTCTTTTAGTAGTGGCAGCACTTGGGAGAAAAACAAAAAGAAAAATGAATACTGCAGCTTTATGTCTATAGAATGTAACCATATGGTTTACCACTGTATTGTTCTTGTAGAAGGTAGAATAGGGGGCATAATTCAAGGGAGCAAAATAACTTTTAAAAAAATACTGGCAGGTTTTTTTTAAAAAAAGTATCTGAGAGGACAGTGAAAAAGTTTATTAAAGAACCTTACGTTGTCTGAAGACAAGTTTAACCACTAATTTTACTGTCAGTGCTGAATCCAGAAAACATTGTACATGTTGGATTTGATTAGATATGAAATCTTTGTGATTATGCATCTATGGCAAACACAACCTTCCAAAAAACTAAATGAAGAGCAAAAGAGCTCTTAATAACATGAGGTCCAATTTTTAAATTGGGATAGGCACTACTACATAAAAATATCTCCAGCTAGCATAATGTACTTTAGCAAATATTTTGTTAAACTGCATTTTTAATCCATAATTCTCAGTGAATATTCTGTATTTAAGCCTCAAATTAATACTTCATTATTTTTATAGCACATATACATTTACCAATATATTATGAAGTAGTATAAATTAATACTAACCTGTGCTTTTTAGCCTAAATACATTAGTTTTGCAGTGCCATATCCTCACTGTTAATGATTTTGATTTCCTTACTGGCTAATCTTCAAAATTCAATAATTTTCGATGGATCTCTACATAGAATGTTACTCTGGGTTTGATCCATTTATAGTTCTACATTTTATTCCCATAGGTCAAAACAGGAATTACTGCATCATACCACAAGCAGCAGTTTTCCCATCTGGCTTCCACAACTGACACACCAATCTCAAGTGAAAGTTTACTTAGCAAGGAAGAGCAGAATTCTAATTCTCGTAACTTCTTTACAAGAAGTCAAATGAATGACACTGTAAAGTTTGTTAGTTTAGAAAGACCCCATCCGTGCAGAAAAAGGAAATACGAAGAAAATCTAGAAAAAGCTGCAGCAGGAGACACAACAGAAATAGAATTCAGTCTCTGAATATGCATATCATAGAAAGATTTCTAGAAATCTTCCACTTGAAGTAAAGAGGTGCGTATTTTATTTTATGGATAACTCTAGACTGCACTCACCAGTGTTCCTCTCCTCCCCTCCCCACTATTTTGATGTAATTGTATTAAATGCAAAGAGATTCCCCACATATCTACAACTGAAGTCCATGAAAGTTGTTACAAAAATTTTCTAGAAGTTAAAGCATTAAAATAAGTGTTTATTATATGTCTGTTAAGTATAATTTTTGATGTATTTAACAATAGTAACTCCTCCAGATGTTGAAAAATTTTAGCTGCAGGACTTTATTTCTCCGCCAGAATGAACATTAGCACAACTATCAAACAAAAGTGACAAATGAAGTCTCAGAATGGAATAATTCCTTTAAACTGTTAGATAAATTTTTGACTCGCTAAGTGGCACAGGAATTAGAAAGTCTGCTGTTTACATGAATTAGATCTTAAAGGATTTACTTTTTAATACTGTACTAAGTGCAAATTGATACAATAAGATTTTTAGAATTTTGCCTCTTAAAAGGTAAGTCAAATTGTATTCTTGGTAAACAATAAAGTGGCAATTTCATAAAGATTTAATGTTTCTGATCCAGCTGACAGCCATTTCTTCTCTTTTCCATTTTTGGTAGAAGTTTCTACTCATTTTAGAATTACTTGAATCATCATCCTACAGCTTCTTCTCCCTCCCTACTTCAAAGAGTGTAAGGAATATAATTAAGAGAACCAAAAATAATTAATTCATAGGAAGTATGGTCACTAAATATATTAATGTACTCAAGGTGTTTTCCCATTTTTACTTTTATTGCTTCTATAGCTCATAGTTTAGAGTCTAATTTTTTTAAACCAATTACACACATTTTGGAGACAAAAAACTTCAAAGTTGTCAATATGAAGTTTAAAATGTTTTACTATGGTTTCGGAATTTGTTCTGAGGCAAACAAAAGCAGAATATTCAGGTGTCAGAAAGACTGAGGAGACTGTTTTTCACTTGATTCAAATTTTGTTTCCAAGAGTTAAGCGTGTCGTATAATTGTTGCCACTGCTGCTTTCCAAAAGTCCGATGTGTGCTATTACTATAAAAGTAAAACAAAATTGAAAAAGGGATTAAGAAAAGGCATTTTTGCTATGCAATGCTCTTCTAGAATACATTTTTTAACGTTTGTACATTTCTAACAAAAATAAGGTAGATCTAATCCTTCAATTCCAAACTGAATATGCAAATATCTATTTTTAGTCTCTCTCTAAAAGATATTACAATACATAAGCTATAGCCTTCCCCAAGTATTTAAAGCGGCAAAAGTCATTAGTATTCTTGTCACTGTTAGGTCATTAAATGAAATGTGCTGGAAAATAGGACTCTTATTAAATAAGCTAATCACATTCAGTCTGAGCTTTAATAAAATTATGATAAATAGCAACTATTTAACTACAGGCAACTGATAGGAACAATACCACCTTGCTTCTAGTTAAAATAGTAAATGGATATATTAAATGAAATAATTAGAATACAGTAAATTCTTCTACAAAATGCTTCAAAGAATTAAGTCTTACCTGACAATTACTTTTCTTTGCGTCTGATCAATTTTGCAGTTCACCATCTTTGTCTTTACAGCTGAAAATAGTAAAATAATTTGAGTGATATTTTAAAGAGATAGCATAAAGGATTTGAAATAGCATAAACATCTTATAAATTCAAATTCATTCAAAGGTACACAAGTAATAACTTGCTGGACGTTATATTCAACAGCGAACTAACAATTTTCTAAGAAGAAAAGCAAAGTGATGTAACAAGATCATCCATGAATTCCTATGGTTTCGTGCCAATCTATTAAAGCAATATCCTGTACAGTTTTTATGAACTGTTCTCCCCTACAAACACATCCTGTTTTAACGACAGCAAGCAAAAACAGATGACAAATTAAACTTGCAAACAATTTATTAGTTCTATAAAATGATTATTTGAAATACTATTCCTGTCACTGAAAAGACAACACTTCTCAAAAGTTGGCTTAGCCTTTAAATATGTTTCATACATGACTTTTTAAATAAACTCAGAAATACAAATGGGGGGGGGGAAGTGTTAAACTATATGTGGCTTGACAAACCAATCTGTATTAAAACAAGCACCACCCTTTACATTATTTAAATTCTAATTTGGCTAACTGCATGTATTTTTTTCTTACAGACAGCCTAATGTAAGAAATTATAGGAATGGTGTATTTAACCGGTTTGTGTTAAACCTTTGCTACTTACGTAAGACCCAAATCACATTTGTTCTAAAAATCCTCCAAACAAGGAATTAATAATAGAAGAAATTCAAATAGTCCTTGTGAAATGTATAAAATATAAGCATGCTAAATATTCTTACCATCTATGACAAATGCTTCTACATCATCTGCTCCAATCTGAAGTTCCTGTTGCATTGTGTCAAATGAGATTTCTTTGTTTTCCACTGCCATTCCCATAAAAGTAAGTAGTCTCATTTTTGCCATATTCTGCTCATGCAGCAAGCCTGCATAACAGAGCATTGATAATGTATAGGAATGAATTACAATTAGATAAGTCTATTTCCATGCTGTTCTTTCTATTATATACAGCTCAGAATAATTTCAAATTCACTTTACATATTTGAATAAATGTTCCCTATCTTGTTTCATCAACATTCTTGCTCTTAGGTTCTTCTAGAACCAATTGTTAGCACTGAAAATACATAAAAAGCAGAAGACACACAAAATCTTTGGCCATGGTCAGAAAGATTAGTTCACATCTTCTTGAGGTGTAACAGAACTGAGACGTCGCCAATTAATTACAACAGTGTTTCCCAATACAGAGGCAGAATGTTGCAGAGTTGAAGGCAGACAAAATTGGTTCAAACTACATTACCAGAGAGAAGCAAAGTGGAACAGGGAAGCCCAGATGAGTCTAATGGTGCTCAGCATTGTATTCAACTGCTACAATATCCTAAATTCATTATGCACATATCCTTGTGGCTAAAATTAAAATGGACAGTGTCTCCTTGAAAGCAACTTTTTTCTTAATCACACTTATAACTAAAAGCAGGGTTTTTGGGGGTGGGGCAGGGGGAGTACATCCTGTTGGGAGAATACATCAGGTTTAACAGGGGATTCCTTTCAAACTTTAGATAATACCATAGGTAAACTTAGTGGTGATATATTCATTGATGTGCAGAAATGCAAAAATAGTAAAGGAAACAGAAACATACCTATATAGGTACTTATATAACCCTGACCATCACAACACAGAGGAGGCTCCAGTCCCTCACTGTCCTCATTTTCCTGTGATGTAGGAAAACATTACTCTGCTCATCTTTTGGATGGGGACACAGACACAAAGACTACACGACTTTTCTAAGGTCCTTCATATAGAAAGTCTGGCAGAGCAAGGAACTTAACCAGGACCCTACGAATCCAGACCAAGCCCTAAAAACTAAACCAACTCAAGCAAATGGCCTCACCATATCTAGATATTCTTATTCAACCTTTCAAGTTCTTGGGGCTATATTCTAGAATCTAAAATTTAATAAAAATTAACTTCAATCATTTTAATCAAGTGTAACAACATGAATATTCACACTGTTCAGTAAATATTTAAGTTTGAAATGTATAACATCTGCATGCTAATAAGAGATCAGGGAAGCATATTATTACTGGGCATCATGTTGTGCTAATTAGCAATAATTATGATGCAAGCTCCCAATCTGGCACAGATTCAACAACATGATGATCATAACTCAAATGAACGAGGACCACCAGCAAGTATGGCTAACTGGGTGTAATGGAAATCTACAACCATTAAAAAAAAATCAATTAATGCACATTAACCCTAATTAACAAATGCAAATAGGATGCTGATTAACTTTTTGAAGAAAGGTTGCGGATAACACCAGATTAGATGTGGACATGTTAGGGCGATCCAATTGACACAAGATAATGCTACTATTGGCCTAAGTTGTCAGCATCAATAAACAACAAATTCTAACAGATTGATAGCACCTGTAGGAGCCGCTACAGAATAGCTTTCAGAGACTAATTTTATTTGTAATTAGTACTGAATCCAAAACAAGATTAAAACTGAAGCAAGTACTCTTTTAGATGCCAAAACTTACTCCTTACAATGAATTTTACTGTTACTCACATTAGTATTTATAATTTCAAAGTATCATGCCTATCAAGAGGGAATAAGCTAATGAAAAAATACTTTTCAGGAAATAAGTTTAAAATTAAACTATTTACAAAACTAAAGCCAAGTGTTCCATAAAGATTTCTATCTGTTTTCTCAAAATAGCCCTCATTCTTTTCTATGACCATAGCTGGTTTTCAAAAGCTTCAAATTAAATGTGACCAGAAAATGCTGTAAGCATTGTAACTCAAAACTACTTATATATAGATTCCTTACATAATTTTCTGACAGTTCAAATAAACATCAGGAAGTGAGAAAGCTATTAAACTTGGAGACAAATTATTTTTTACAGTTTAAAAAAAGTCAATTAGAAAAGTATAAGTTTTACAAGAATTAGCAGGGCTTGACAAATGGTGGCGAAAACCGCTCGCCAGCCCCATACTATGCATGCGCAAGAGCTGCACTGCGTATGCGCGTGCTCCGAATGAATGGGGCGCGCAGCTGAAATCTGAAATATAGTTTTTCGAGCCCGGAGAATTAGCATACGTTACATATACTGAAAATCTCTACGTTGGTAGATTTAAGGTATTTTATGATTAAGCCCGTATGTAGGGAAGGAAGCACGACTATTACAAATCATACTGCTGGATGAGCGTACCATCCAATATATGCAAAGCCATTACCGTAAATTAATTTGCTGTATATTTAAAAAAAAGCAGCAAAATTGCATTCTCAGCAATTATTTCCAGGAACAGACAAGCAACTTATTTGTTGAGGTTGCTCAAATGTAAAAAATAAATTTAATATATTACAGATGGCCTCTATTGCACTAAGATAGTTCTATAAGTCATTTGCATGCTTTTGTATTTGAAATATTAGAAAAAAAGTATTTGTGATCTATCCCATATACAATCACAATGTGTGGCTATTATAAACAGCGGGCTTTCTTTTTTCCATAAAATGGAAGTGTATTGATGTTACTAATCATATTTTTACACTATAATATGAAGTACCACTAACAAAGTTTTCAGTAAAATTATTTTTAGAATCATACTACAGTCCATTAAACCAAATGATGCCCAATGACTGCACTAAACTGTATTTTGTTTTTACAAAACTATAACATTTTCCTCAAATGAAGACAGCTGGTATTCAAGTGTCATTTCAAAATCAAAGTTATAAAAATAATTTTATGGAAACATTCATTCATTACCAATATGTCAAAACTTAATGTAGTAATAAAAAAATCTGCATCATTGAGCAATTTCTGCATTGTCACTGACCCGTCTTAAAAAGCTGCAATATAGAAAACATCATTTTACTGCATGCAATACCTTATGAACCAGTGCTCCTTTGAAACAGTCAATTACACATCAATGGGGGAGTGTCAAAGTGTTAATTACTACTCCTTTTTTCCAGAGTGTAAATAAAGAGGGTGCTGACATTAACATTCCATTGCATAGCTTGATGTGATGAAACAAATTAACTGGGACAGAATGTGATTTGCCAGAGCCTAATGCAGCAGCAAAGCAAAAACATTTGCATTTCTTTATCCTATTGTACTTCACCCTTGTTATACAGCTAGGTGGTAAAGTTAAACCACTTAATAAGTTTAAAAATAATGGCAGAGGACTCATCTCTGAACCATGAATAATTAAATGCTCAGGAAAGTAGAGGGCTGATAGAGCCTTCTAGTTCAGCTTCCAGATCACCTGAAGTGGGTTTTGCCCATGAAAGTTCATGTACTATATATATTTTTGTTAGTCTCTAAGGTGCC